TCCGTCCGTCTTGGAAAAAGTGCCACTTGGTGATTTAGCGCGAGATCTTCTACCCCCAATTCATTACCTCAAGAATAGGAAGGGCCTGGTTCATTGAGTTGCACACTGATAAGTTAGGCCTTCCCAATATTTTCTAAATGCAGTTTGCGCAGTAAGATTCCTTTTATTTGGAAAGAAGGAAGAAAAAAAAAACATCTGCAATAAAAATCGAATTTGAATTGGAAGCGCGCTTTTGTGGGCTATATAATAATTTATTACTTTTAAGAGATTGAATTACAATTCTATTCTATATGCAATATTTGAAAGTACCGAGATGACTCTTATCTAACTGAGTGAATGAATAGAGAATGGATGGGGCAGGCAGCGAGTTAGAATCAATAAAAGGAGGGGAGTGGAAATCAATGGGGAACACAAAGGGGGGAGTGTCAATCCAAGCGGACAAGCCCTTCAGACAACAGAGGACATTACTTATCTTCAAATGGCGCAACTAATACACGCGGCTGGCAGGCACTACAGGTCTCTGCAATTAGTTTCTTGAAGAGCATGAGTCACCCTGGCTCGAGGATTCACTTTTACTTTCGGGGCTTTTCAAATTTCTTGTTCTTGTTATTTCGGTACGAAATATGAATATAGATGTTGATTTAAAGGGACTAGAAAAAAATATCATAGTCTAACATAACTCGCTGACTAATAATATAGTTACCCTCATTTTTAGAATAGCAAACACACATATATGTTTATAGTTTTAACTTAAGGAACATGCACTAGATTATTAGCAGAAAATTTTCAAAATATATTTTATAGATGGATACTTTTTAAAAACATACAATTTCCGAAGGTTTATTTAATCAATATGATATAATTAATATATTTAAAATAAATTATACTATTAGAATCTACATTCATCTTTTAGAACCTATGCAAGATTTCATTAGGGAAAACCAACTATCGAAGCACTTTCACCAGTCATCTTCGGGGATGGAATTTACGGCATTGATAAAGGCTTGAGGTGCTTCATCGTCAGTGTCAAATTTTATCCCTTTCAACAATAACTTAACTTTTGGAAATAAAAAAGCCACAAGGTGCTAGGTCTGGTGAATATGGTGGATAGATGACTAATTAGACACCAGAGTTGGCTAAAAAGTCTAATGTTTGGGTTGAGGTGTGCGGTCTTGCATTGTCATGGTGAATTTGCTTGATTTGTTCAAATACTGATAGAAAGCATTTTGTTTTATACCAATTACTATCAACTATCATTCGATTTTTTAGCCTCACAAAATTAACGAAACCACTTTTTCTGAAAAAACAAGCGACCATTTGTTTTCCAAGACTTCGAGCTCTGCGAAATTTCTTAGGACGAGGGGATTTGAAAAGAACCGTTTTGTTTCTGGATCAAAATTGTAAATACATATTTCGCAACTGTAATAATATTAATAAGAGCCTTTTATTTGCTTTCATCAAATTCTTTCAGCATGAAATTACACCATTTAACGCGACCAAGTTTTTGGTCTTCAGTCAAGCTGTGAGGTACTCACAGACGATAAGACGACAAGACAGCTCTTCATTCTGCAAAAAAATGAATAAATAAAGCAAAGCTATTAGGAACAAACTGTTAAGACTTCGTAGGGATACTTGGCAGAAATCCGTCTGTTTGCGCCTAGTTATGTAAATAACTTGCTAGGCTGCATTGATGTAAATTTTCATTTCTTTCTTTTGGTTATGTAAATATATATGTAAATAAAATGAGTGGATGATTCAATAAAGTTAGTGTGTCAGCAAAACTCAGTGAGGCTGTGTGGTGATTCTCTCGTTGCTACATAGCAATTAGATAAGGATAATCTCTCAGTAGTCAACCCGCAGGTCGAGGTGAAAACATACAGTCCAAATTAAGCTCTGCCAAAAGATCGTCAACATCTAAAACAAAAGGTTAGAGAGCTACAAGGAATTCCAAGCTAATACTGTGAGGATCCAAGCTCCAACATATGGTCCATATCGAACCGGATTTCAAGAGAAAGAGCGTGATTCTACTGAGAAAGAACCTTCAAAACTGAAAATATGTCTGAGGCAATCAAAGGCCTAAAGGTCAAGATCCGTTTCCAGATAAGACGAATGGATAGATACCTGGCATCCGTAGATGAAGAAATAGCGGGAGGAGATCTCCATAATTTAAAGCTGATATATGAAGATGTATCAGAAATAAAAACGGAAACAAAGATCTTATTTGACGAGTTATTTGAACAGGAGGAAGTAGATGAAGTGAAGGAATTCGATGGTTATGAAACAATTCAAGATAAAATGAAGAAACTGGAAATAAAGCTTAGGCTTGCATTAGAAGGAATACAAAGTACAGCTGATACCAAACAAGCAAAGGGCCTCGAAACAGTGATATTGCCCAAGTTCGAGTTGCCTCACTTCTATGGAGATGCGAACTCATGGTTCAATTTCAAGGAGGTATTCGGAATGGCCATAGATCAAAATCCAGGGTTAAATGATCTACAAAAGCTGCAAATTTAGGCTCCGCAGTGAAGGGAGAAGCAGCCAGACTGATACGTGGGTTCCCAATATCATCAGAGAGCTACAGGCAAGCATGGGATACTCTAGTATCCAGATACGACAACCAAAGAGAGTTGGCTTATGCGCAACTGAATAAAATCTTCAAGATCAAGCAAATGAAGAATCCATCAGCAAAGGCCCTAAGAGAACTCTTAGACACATGTAACGAGTCTGTACGCAATCTAGGATCCCTCGGATTGCAAAGTAATGAGTTGGTGGACATAATATTGGTACAGTTCTTGAGGAACAGAATCGATTAGGATATGAAGCGACAGTGGGAGTTGACCCAAGATGAGAAATCATTTCCTTCCTATGAGAACTTCATTCTGTTTCTTGAAAGACAAGCTAGAAGTCTGCCACAGGGATCAAAGGAATATCAAAGAAAGGAAAATGAAATTCAAAAGGACTATGCAAATGTACATATTGCGATTAATACTAATGCTCAAATATGCATAGCATGCAAAGCAGGTCATAGAATCTACAACTGTACTACATTTAGTACAATGCCCATCGAACAAAAATGGGAATTTGTCAAGCAAAACAAAATGTGCTACAATTGTCTAAAAAAAGGTCATACAAGAAAAAATTGTTACCAAGGACCTTGCAAGAAGTGCGACAAAAGGCACCATACATTGCTCCATAAGCTTGACACAGAGGTAACTAATAATCAGAAGGGTGCGAAGTCCCAGATTTTTACACCTGTAAGTGAAATCAACAATACCAGTGTTGAACAAGGAAGTGAGAGAGAGAGAGAGAGAGAGAGAGAGAGAGAGAGAGACCATCAATCAAGTGCTCCTTGAGACTGCTCAAATAATTTTGGAAGGTGAAGGCGGTACACAGCAGATCTGCCGAGCACTTTTGGATAGTGGGTCACAAGTTAGTTTGATCACAAAAGAAATTTGTGAAAAACTTGGACTCAAAGGAGAAATATCACGGCGTACACTTAGGGGTATTGGAAATAATCCAGTCCAGGGGTCATCTACATCTGTTGACTTGACATTCAAATCAATTTATAGATCCGAAAAGTACCAAACAAATGCTCTGGTAATGGAAGTCTTAACAACTGAAATTCCAAACTTCAAATTGGCAGAACCGACCTGGATTATGCTAGAGAGACTTTGAGTTGGCAGACCCTCTGTTTCATATTTCGGCACCAATCGACATTATTCTAGGTGCAGATATGTATGCATGTCTGATGCAAGGAGAGAAAAAAATGCTGGGAAGGAACCAGCCTATAGCAATGAATTCAAAGCTCGGTTGGATTCTAATGGGCAAAGTAGACAGCTCTCTCTCGTCGAACTATAAAGGTGGACCTTGTAGCTTTGCGGTTCAAACAACATCAGAATTAGATGGTCTGGTGGGAAATTTCAGGGAATCGGAGTCAGTGCCGTCATTACAAGACCGGAAAACAAGGGAAGAAGAATATGAGACTTATTACCAGAAAACCTATTCCAGAGGCTGCCAAGGAAGATACAGTGTGAAACTGCTATTCGGGAAAGCTCATCAAACAGCTCCATTCCTACCTCTAAATCTCCAATAATTCCACTGGGAGGAAGGTCTGGTGAAAGTGTCTTGCACAAAACTAACTTGGACAGCCCGAGGAGTTTTCAGGAGACCAATCACCAAGCTGGCCCCTCTTCCCTTTACGCCTCGAGATCTGAACTGAAGTTCAGCGGTGGGGGGGAGTATGTTTGCGCCTAGTTATGTAAATAACTTGCTAGGCTGCATTGATGTAAATTTTTATTTCTTTCTTTTGATTATGTAAATATATATGTATATAAAATGAGTGGATGATTCAATAAAGTTAGTGTGTCAGCAAAACTCAGTGAGGCTGTGTGGTGATTCTATCGTTGCTACATAGCAATTAGATAAGGATAATCTCTCAGTAGTCAACCCGCAGGTCGAGGTGAAAACATACAGTCCAAATTAAGCTCTGCCAAAAGATCGTCAACATCTAAAACAAAAGGTTAGAGAGCTACAAGGAATTCCAAGCTAATACTGTGAGGATCCAAGCTCCAACACCGTCCGAAACTTGTCAGGTATATCAAGATTTGCAAACTCTGGGCCATAGCTGACGTAGGGAAGATGCTATGTAGCAAAATATTCATTATTTTGTGTTCATATTATAACAATTTTGATATTTATATTTTACTAATAATAAAATTTGCTTTATTTAATCACTGGTATTTTATGAATTTCAGTGCCATCCTGAAGATATCACCTTTGGATATATCTATTCACTAACTATTGACTTTTTAAATTTAAAAGTGAATTAGGTTTTATTAAACATGAGATATATTACTCTCTTTCTCATAAGTGAAGTTTGCGATCTGTCTATTTTATCGATCGAGAAATGCTCGTTGTCTCTGGACCCGTTGGAGAAGTCCCATCGAACTCTACACGAGGGGCCGACGCTATGTGTGTAATCAGTGTACAATAGCATTTATGTTTATATTATCCTTAATAGGACATGGCATCTGCCCGGTAAGCGGAAGGTCGTGGGTTCGATTCCCGCCCCTGGACACTTTTATTTTTCCGTTCGCCATTACTCTTCATATTTTCACCCTTTCATGCTTCATCCTTAAAGTTAGAAATAGTCGTTATTTCTCTTTAAAATAAATTTCGATTTTTGTTTAGAAGAAACATTCGCGGTATAATTGCAATTTTCGTTTTACAATCATCAGCCGCGTTATATTGTATTTTAAATTACTTTATATAATATTTACGAACGGAGAAATATGTCCAGGGTAGCCTAGTGGACATGGCATCTGCCCGGTAAGCGGAAGGTCGTGGGTTCGATTCCCGCCCCTGGACACTTTTATTTTTCCGTTCGCCATTACTCTTCATATTTTCACCCTTTCATGCTTCATCCTTAAAGTTAGAAATAGTCGTTATTTCTCTTTAAAATAAATTTCGATTTTTGTTTAGAAGAAACATTCGCGGTATAATTGCAATTTTCGTTTTACAATCATCAGCCGCGTTATATTGTATTTTAAATTATCCTTAATATTATGATCTCATTGTAAATTCTCATAATCATATGTACGAACTGTATAGTTGAGTAGATGCTAATATAGAAAAGTATTTAATTATTAATAGGGTGTTCTCTCTTTTAAACCAAATACATCACCTTTTTTTAATGTTTGATGGTATTTTATATGGTTAAATATACAACTAATTAAATATGGGTGCACAGCCTAGCCGAGACCGTCGTCCTGCGCGGAACAACCACGCCGTTCACCAATATCACCACCCGCTCGGGCCGTCGCGCCCTGGAACGCCCGCGCCTTACGGCTCTGCCGATCACCCGTCTCCTGGCGAGGTGGGAGCCCATCGTAGACGTGCTTGCCAAGGTGAACTAGTCCTCGATCCGAAGCGGCGCTTTCTCGGGGCATAACGGCGACATCGCCCAGCGATTGGCCCTTCATGTCCTGCTTCACCCGGAACATCCTGCATCTGCCGGTCCTTCTTGCCCTTCCTACGGGTTCCCCGATGGCTTCCTGGGCCACGGATACTGGAGTTGCACGAGCATCAAGCCCCTCGTCCGGGAGGCCTTCAACATCATCGGCAGACCACCTGATCTCCGTCATGGATCTTCGGGACTGGGCAGGAGGACGACGAAATGGCCATCCTTGCGTCAGCGAAGGGCCGAATTTATCGGTACTTCGTGCAGGTGGGGCTGGGTGGTGGAATTGAGGACCCCCTCATCGCCTGGAAGAGGACACTTGTACGGTGGGGAAGACTCCCCGGCTAAAAAATTAAATTTGTAAATATTAAATTCTTCTATAATTTATTATATAATAGGCAAAATAGACTAGCTGCGAAAGCTTTAGACTTTAGAACCTGATGTCCCTGGTTTTCTCTAATTAGTTTTGTAATCTCTTCCTAATTTTGTAAATATTGACTGAGTTGTCAATAAATTTGTTTCAATTGTTAAAACCAATTAAATATGTATGTTCTTCAAAGTATCTTTAGAAACTCATTCACCTTTCTCAGCTTCCTTCCTATTCAGTTCAATTTGTGGTAGCTGCAATATCTTCTGAACCATATTCTGAAAAAAAAAAAAAACATGACTGTTTCCACAAAAAGAGATAACGCTTTTTCAATACGTGTACAGCTTTCATGAAAGATACGACGTGTCACGAGGCATCCAATCAGAGATTTTTTCGTGATATAAATTAAAGTTGAGTCAATTCATATTGCCTTTTATATAAAAACGTTGGTATTATTGTCGATCATATCACCCTCGTTAAACTAGACAAGGTCTATGCAAATTTTATCTTCGGCAATTCATTTTTAAAAATTGAAACAGTCCTTATCTGATTCATATCCATCCAAGTAAAATTTCTTTTTTATTATACTGAGTTGATCCTAACATTTCTCATAATCTCTTCGATATAAAATTTCTACGTACCACACTTAATACGGCCAAATACTAAAAAAACTCGCACTTTAATCATGCCCATCCTGACATATATAGCAGTGTTACTCTGATAACATTGAAATTTAACTGAATTTTGAACATCTAACCATTTATATAGCAATTATTGAACTCTGCTAAATAATTATATAGGTTATATAGTTGCTCTTATATAATTTTGGGTAATGTGTCAGCGTATTCAGATGTTTCAAAAATGAATGTATGAACAAACAATGGTATATACCCGAGTCCCTCCTGACCGTAGACATGACATCTGACATAATTATTTCATTCAATAGTTGGTGCTTCTATCATGTTTGTATTGTAATTGACATAACTACAAGCCACGTGTTTAAAATCATTAACGGGTTAACTAATAGGGAATGATAGGAATATTAAATTAATTTTGAAAATAGAAAAACAGCGCACCTTAGAAAATAAAATGTATGAAACAGGATTTAATACATGTATATTTTTTCAAATCTTTATTTTGCAAGTCTATGCCTTTTTCAAAGAAGGTTTAATCTTTGTCCTCTAAAGGTCCACACAACAGCAAAAATCGCTTCATTATTATTCTCAAAAATCTTTCCCTTTAAATATTTGTATATATACGAATAATATGTCTGTCTCTTTATAAGCTAGAGCTGCAGAATAAAATGGGTAGGTGATTATTTTGAACCTGCATTCGACGATTGAAGTGGTAGAAATTGGTCTTCGCATTAGCGGAAGCATTTCCGTAATGGTAGAGCACAACTTTTGGTAGTATTTCTTTTAGCAATTTTTTTTTATTTTTGCGCTCTCTCTTTTGATTTTCTTATTACAACAACAACATAATTGTTAAAGATCATCATTTTAGTTTTAGTTTGAATATATTGTTACGCCGTACCCAGATGCTGTTCTTGTTCTTTGTCTAAAAAGGATGCCACAAAGATACACACGTGAGTTCGAAGGGATGCAGCGAATGCCATCGCTTTATTATACGTGGCACTAAACAGATGGAGTACGATAAGTGGGACTTGCCTTCAACCTCTCCGTCAGAAAAATCCTGGGCGGTGTGGATGGCACTCTTGTGAAACCTTCCGCTCCACACTATACACGTCCAGCCTGGACTACACCGCCTTGTAGGCCATCCGATGTCAGACTCTTTTGGCACCGTCTTGCAGGATCATCCACACGCCCGGAGGCAACTCCCCACGTCTTCTCCTCGCCGCAGATGTCACCAGTCTGTCTTCCTCCGACACTGGAATGCCATCTGGGCGCACAAACCCGCCTTCAGGCCGACCGCTATATCGGCTTCCATCACGTCCGTACCAGTTGGATTGCCCCCACAACCTGGAAGCTGTCAATCAACACTTCCTTGTGGAGGAGCACCTGCATACTTTCCTGCCGTACTCCTCTGCCCACATTTCTTGACTCTCTTCTTTAACGCTTCACTGCCCTTATTCTATAATGTTGTTTGCTATACTGTTTTATTAACGTTTCAACTTCTCGATACTATTTTCATTTTTATTATATGTTTTTCACAGAAATAATTTATGAATTTTTTAATTTTTTAATTAGGTCTCTCGTCATTGATGGTCTTCTATCATGTTCTGCAAGAAATTATATTTATCTAAAATTACAAATACCGAATTTTTAATTTGTAATAAGATATGTACTATCTTCCCTAATAAATTTTGAGATATCATCATATATTGGACTATTAAAATTTAAACATTCTATCGCCACTCGCGTCATTCATACTGATCCATTTCAACCGAATTACACACTTTATGTTCTAAACTACCACTTTATAGAATATAAATATTATATGCGTGATTATAAAAAATGGGGGCTCTATAACTCTGGTAAAATCTCAATTAAAATATCAAATATTTAATAATCAGGCCATATATTTAAGGAAAAACCCTTTTATATATGGATATTCAAATTTTCACATTAAATTTCAGTGATGCGACATATTTTAGAAATCCTCAGAGTGTTTTATTCGACGAAATATGTTTGAAATAGCCACACACAAGAACAAAGTTTAGATTTAAAATTATCTATGAAATCGAAAGTCAAGAACACAATGTTATAGAAAGGAAATTTGTTAATTGAAAATAGTTTTTTTTTGTATCTTGAATTCTGTTAGAAATAAATTTAAAGAAAACACCAGGATTCAGGAATCGAAGTATGGGAAGAAAATAAATGCTATTATAATTAAAATGTATAAACACAAATCTATTAAGTTCTATATTTATCTTAAACGTTAAATGTTTATTTTGAGTAAAAAAAAGACGAAAACTTCCATTTGCGATTATCAGGAGAATCAACTGGGAAAGAGAATAATAAAGAAACTCCTCGCCGTTAACTTTGATTCCTTCTTCGAAATGATATCTGGCGATTCCTGCTCTTGTAAAACAAAAGAACGGAATATAAAATAATAATTTGGGTTTCAACTGCCATCAGTGAATACAATTCCTCGAAGAAATGAACTTGGGCATGAGGCCTTGTTTTTGTGGATCCCCACTTTCGATGCTCCACCGCTGTACAAACTAGGAATATATTCTTTGTTTATCGGTTCCAACACATTATCTTGGACGTAAGCAGAATTAGATTTGTCATTTGAAGCCACCTGGTGGATCGAATATCTTTCCATATGAATAAATCCTTCCACACTACCATAAATCTATTTTAAAACTATTCTTTACATTGCCTGACAAAATCACATATGCCTGAGCTTCCTTATTTTCTCTCTATAAAAGTACCCTAAAGTACGTTTTCAGAGATCT